TTGGAATGGGTTGCCTTCGGTAGTTGTAGAGGCAGTAAATTTAAATGAGTTTAAGAGAAAGCTTCATAAATATATGAATGATAAGGGCTGGCTTTAAGATTTTTAAAGTTATTTTATTTTAGTTTAGAGGATGGAACAGTCGAAGTGGACCAATAAGCCCCATGTTGTCCTAAAACATTATGTTATGTTAAACCTTTTCTGCGGGATAAAGATATTTAAAGCTAATGGAAGGTATAACCAGCAATGAACGTAAAGTACCGGATAACACACTGAAAGAAAATACACACACATTTGTTGCACGATTTCGTATTATCTTAACCATTATATTTTGATATAACTGTTGCAGAATCATTATATTTACAACCATTTATAATAAGACTATGAGGCCTTGAACAATAAATTATTTACTAGCTTAAAAATTATGCATATAAATAGGATTCAAATCCAGTATTATAGTATTATATTGATATTTATACAGACAAGAACGACAATTTCTCTGAATCCACTTTCAGTGCTGGTAGTTTCTAAATAATAAATTAACCATGTACAGAAGCTACTACTACAAGCACATAACTAATTTGTTCAGCATGTTAAACGAGCTGATACTCGGGTAGATAAGGCCTCAACCTTCAAGCAGCAACTAACACATTGTCATGACTATGGCTAGACAGTTCATGGGGACAGATTGTCTTCAATACCATCAACAAGTTCCTTGCTACATTATATCTTCTAACTGTATCATGGGTGAACGAGGTTAGAGGACAAGTGCAACTGTATGAACTGTTTCAACCAGATAAAGTCTTCACCAGCATATTGGTGAAGACTAAGTGCCAAGGATGGATAATTATAAACCCAGAAACACATCTGGATACTTTTAATATAATATTCTTCTAAGTCAGTAGAATGATACTCTTTACAGACATAATAATTAGCATTCACTATTTGTAAATAATCATGTTTCTTGGTAACTGTTTGTGATTCATATATTTTATATTCACAGTATTTGACACGTATATATTATTTTAGAAATATGTGGCAATATATATTGTTGCGTCAGCGAGTCACATGACCACGTGACGCAACGTTTCTAGAATTATCATGTACTTTGGCAAATGCTCTAGTATTTACTAGTAGGTTAGGCTGGTATATATATAAGAGGGGAAAACGTGATGCGGGAGGTAGGCAATAATGTGTAGATAGTGAGTAATTGAACTGCAGTCAGAGAGCACGAGAGACGTTCGTTGCTATAGCGTTTGTTTTAACGCGATTGTTGAAGTTGAGTGTATCGGTAAAGTTATATTCGGAAAGAATAAACCAGTTTTATTAAGTAAAGTCTTGTGTCGCTTAAGTTTCGTCGGTACGAAGTTACGGAAAATCAATTAACAACGGTGACGTAACAATATTATAAATATTAGACTTACATATCTATAAGAAAATCATTGAAATTGAACACATAGATCTGCCTTTAAAGTTTGTATCAGGACTAGTACAACTTGTTACATAAATTGGGTCATTACTATTTACCAACAGTTCAAATGCATGCTTTTCAAGATTGCTTAGTCCACCATATTTACACTGAAGCTCAAAATACCTATACTTTTGTCTTCAGGTATTAAGAATCACGTGTAAAATAATATTGTTGCGTCATCGAGATCACGTGACTGGTGTGGCGTCACCTATTTTCTAGAACTATCCTGTACCTTGGCGAATGCTCTAGTACTTACTAGATATAGGGTAGTCTGGTATATAAAAGAGGGTGACAACGTGACGGTAATACAATAATGT